AGGCGGATTTCTGTGAGTTCAAGGCCAGCCTGGGCTACCAAGTGAGTTCCAGGAAAGGCGCAAAGCTACACAGAGAAACCCTGTCTCGAAAAAACAAGAGAGAGAGAGAGACAGAGACAGAGACAGAGACAGAGACACTGGCCTAGTTGTCCATGTTGTCCCAGAGCCTAATGCCACCTGGGAGACTCTATTCCTTCAGACCTTGGGAACTAAGACTCCAAAGAGGGAAAATGTGACTGTGCTTCTCATTCCATTGAGAAATGTTCTGGACAGAGCATGGGAGTGTGTTAGGAAAGGGACAGTGCCCTGGCCTGGAGTAAGCTTCCTTGGAGTCCACAGGAATTTAGTCTGTGCCGGCTGGCTTCAGCTCATCCAAGTCTTCTGACCCCTTCACCCCAAAAGGCAAGCACCGGTAGCTGAACATAAGGGCCTGTTCCTATAATGCCAGTAATCAGGAGGCTGAGGCAGAAGGATTTTGAATTTGAGGCCAGCCTAGGTGGGCTACACAGTTTCATATAAACCAGGGCAACATAGCAAGACAATGTCTTAAAAATGAAGAAGAAAAAGGACAGCATTGGTCCCCCGAGCAAGTTCACCAGGCGCTAGGTGGGTGCCAGTGCTTAATTTCTCTTGAAATTTGCTAGACTTGGTGTCTCCAGGCTGTAATTCTAATTACTCAAGAGACTGTCAGGAAGGTCACAAGTTCAAGGTCTGCCTGCACACAACTTAGTGAGACCTGTCTCAAAGTAAAATGTTTAGAAAACAAAGAGGTTGTGGAATAGATTAATGGGAGAGCCATGCAAGGCCCTAGACTTACACTCCAGTTACTTACAAATGGCTAAAACAAAAAAGTTAACTGCAGCATTAAAAATGACCAGAGGGGTGTGTGTGTGTGTGTGTGTGTGTGAGAGAGAGAGAGAGAGAGAGAGAGGTGGGGGGATGGTGTTATGCCCAGATTGCGACCTCAAAGAGACCACTGAAGACCTTGGATGTCCAGAATGCAATAGCGAGGTTTATTGTGTAGATACAAGTCTAGACAGGGAACTCGTTCCTACACCCAATTGAATTGAGTGAGGCAGCAGGGAGTTACTCTTCTTTGTGAGGTTAGGTATTTAAAGGCAAAAACCACAAGCCCTTCAGGGAAGTTGTTCTCTTTTAATTGGGTGAGGTTATGTAACCTTTGAATTTACTGGTTGGGTGTTACAATTATCACTTTGGGGGCAGTCCAGGACAAGTCCCAGGCTGTGTCCTTGAGCTGCCATGGGGGCTGGCTGGCCTAGCACATACTGATCGTGGGGGCTGACTCAGTGGCTCAGGCTCTGTCCTTGACTCATGCACATAGCTCTAAGTTGGTGAGGGGTCCCAGACAGTAAACAGCTGGCTGAACCTTGAGCAGTCAGAGTATGTGCAGAAAGGGAGCTAGTGCAAGGACTATGTCTTTTGTTCACAGCTCTCCCAAAGACTGCTTGCTCAGTCTCAGGAAACTGAAATTGAGGCCTGATCTCTGAGAGAAGACTGAGCAGCCTGTTATGGCATCTGCTTGGTCCCTTTCAGTGGAACTCAGGGTCTTATCTATGGTAAGCAAACACTGTACACATGAGCCATACGCTTAGCTTTACATTTGAATTTTAATTAATTAGTTAATTTTGGCTTTTGTTTTGTTTCCCTAGACAGAATTTCTCTGTGTAGCATTGGCTGACCCGGAACTCCCTTTATAGACCAGGCTGGCCTAGAACTCACAGAGATTTGCCTGCCTCTGCCTTCTGAGTGCTGGGATTAAAGGCATGCGCCACCACAGCCTGGCTACATTTGATTTTTTTTTTTAAATCAGAACATTCGGGTTGATGAGATGGCGCAGTAGGGATTCACTGTGAAAGTCTGGTTATTTGGGTTTGATTCCTAGAAACCATATAAAAGTGGAAATAGGGAACAAACTCCACAAAGTTGTCCTCTATGCTGCACTGTCCACCTGCACTTACAGACATTACACACACACACACACACACACACACACACAATTTTAAAAAGTCAGAACATCTGGCAACACTGGACCCATATTCCCTCCACTCATGGCAAGCTTTGGGCCACATCTGATTGACCCTTATAGTGTCGAGTTGGTATTCGACCCTATGACTTAAAGATGTTTGTGGGGATAGAGAGGTAGCTCATTGGTTAGGGGCACTTATTCTTACAGAAGACCCAGGTTGGATTCCAAGCACCCACATCGTGCCTCACAATGCTCTGTAACTCTAGTCCCAGAGGATCTGATGCCCCCTTCAAAACTCCTTGGGCAGCAGAGCAGGCACACACATGCTACACATACATGCATGCAGGTAAAACAGACACATAAAAAATAAGAGAGAAAGAGACCATGGGAGTGAGAGTGGGATGATCATGTAAAAAAAAAAAAAATGCTTTAGCCCAGCAGGGGTGGCACATGCCTTTAATCCCAGCACTAGGGAGGCAGAGCCACACAGATCTATGTGAGTTTGAGGCCAGCCTGGTCTACAGAGCTAGATCCAGGACAGGCAACAAAACTACACAGAGAAACCCTGTCTCGAAAAACAAAACAAAACAAAACAAACAAAACATACTTTAGAAATTCCAGGATCTGGCTTGATTCTATGGCCAATATGAAGAACAAAATTTACTCTGGTTTGTCTCTGATTAGTATGTCCGGGTGTTTGAAACCACAAGGTGAAGAGAAATGTACTTAATATCAGTTTCAAAACAGATATAGCTATAAACTTGAGTACACATGGGCCAAGGGGATCCTAGCATAGAGGACACACTGTACTCAACCCATGAGGAGCAGAGAGTGTGCGTGCGAGGGAACTCACTCCTAGAGAAGACCAAGTTACTCATTAAGTCCCAGGAGTGACCAAGTCCAAAACAGTAATGTGTCCTAACTCCTGGATAAAAGTTCTCCACCAACAAAAGAAGCCACTGCAGACATATTGAGGGACAAAGTGTCCGGACATGTGGATCCCACCCTGAGGTCACCTAGAGTAAACCAAATTGAGTCTGAGCATACTTGGTTGAAGGATATGTATTGAGTACTTCGTGTACAAAAATTATTAACCTTTTTTAAAGAGGAATTCTTTCTGGCTATCTTTAGGAACACAGCAGGTCTGGGAGAGAAGATTACCACGGCTGCTGTGTAGGATAGCCATGCCTGAAAGAGCTCAGAAAGGCTCCAGGAGAAAATGAAGGAATAAGATAGACAGACATAAAAAACATGTGATGATAAACACCTGTAATTTCAGCACACAGGAAGTAGAGTCAGGAGACTCAAGAGTTCAAAGCTATCCTCAGATACATAGAAAGTTCAAGGCTAGCCTGGGCTACATGTGACCCTGTCTCAAACATAACAAACAAACAAAAAACAAAAATAACAACAACAAAAAAAACCAAGATCTAAGCTGTGCAGTGGTGGCACGCATCTTTAATCCCAGCACTTGGGAGGCAGAGGCAGGTGGATCTGTGTGAGTTCAAGGCCAGCCTGTTCTACAGAGCGAGTTCCAGGTCAGCCAGGGCTACACAGGGAAACCCTGTTTTGAAAAAAACAAAACAAAACCAAACAACAACAAAAGCCCAAGATGAACA